GGTGACCATGTCTATCACAGAGGTTTTATCTGTCCAGCAGGAAACCCTAATAGGATCAGATGTTAGTTAAAATGTACTGCTGTACCTTCTGTAGGAAACCTTAAATCATTATTAAGTTCTGTGATTTTTCATTCAGCACTCCTTTTTCAATAAAACTGTGGTTCCCTTAGTGTGGACCATTTCTGGTTAAAGTAATAATGATGATTATGATAGTCTTTTTAATTCAGAAGTTAGGTTCTTCATCAACCAGGTGTTTGCTGTATAAAAAATATTGGCTTCCAGGCCCTGATTAATTGTGATGAAAACTCTTATTCTTAGAAAAGAAATGATGAATATACTTCCCTCTTCTCAAGAGGAAGGTCAGAGACCATGTGTGTGAAGTGTTGCATACCCTATCAATCAGTTGTGATCACTTTGTTTAACTGCTTATCTTTTTTAAAAAGTAGAATTCAATGATTTTAGGGACTATATAAAATGACATATAAAAACTAATTTTTAAACAATATTGGTTAGAAAAATAACCTCAATGTTTTGTCCCCCACAGTGGAAAAAATTCACTCTTTTCAGAAAAGAGGAGAAAAAAGCACACAGTTCTTTAACCCATAGTTGACATTTAGAACAAATGAGATGCAAAGTGTTTCACATGTACTGTTGTTTTAAGAGGCGAATTAAATTAAGTAATTTTTATAGAGGAAGGGACTTTACAGATCACCTGGACAAGCTCAGTCTGTCCTATTTTATAGATGGCTCAGACAGAGGCTCAGAGACAGTGACTAATATAATTTTTTTAAAAAAATGTTTTTGTTGATATTTTATGTTTTTTAAACATATATCACCATAGTATCCCATGTATCTCTCCCCTTCCCTTTCACAGAGCTACATTCCATATGACAAATAGTATTTTTGGAGAGGAAAAAAAAAGTCAATATGACTGATCTATACATAGAAAAAGTCTGAAAACATGTGCAGGATGTAACATGTGAACCTCCCATTGCCACGAAGGAGTAGGTTGGGGGTGTCTTTTCATATCTCTTCATTCATGTTCTATTTGATATTTACAATTTTGTTACATTTACTTTTGATTTTTTTGGTATGTTGTTCTTTCCTTTTATATTGTCATAGTTTTGGTGTATATTGTTTTCTTGACTCTGCTTACTTCATTCTGCATTAGTTCATTTAGATCTTTCCATGCTTATATATATTTATCACACACATCATTTCTTGTAGCACAGTAACGTTCCATTACATTTGTGTACCACAGTTTGTTTAGCTATTCTCCAATTGATGGACATCTACTTTTTCCCAGTTCTTAGCTATCACAAAAAAAGTGTTGCTATAAATATTTTGGATTACATGGAGACTTATTGTCATATGGCTTCTTTGAGGTATAAGCCCAATGCTGGAGTCTCTGATTTAAAGAATATGGACATTTTAGTACCATTTCACAACTCTACCATCAACATATTAGTGTGCCCATCTTCCATAACACCTCCATCATTGACTATTGCCATTTTTGTCATATTTGCCAATTTGCAGGGTGCAAAATGAAACCTCAGAGTTGTTTTGATTTGTATTTCTCTTATTATTAGTGATGTGGGGCATTTTTTCAAGTATTTGTGAATACTTTGCAGTTTTTTTCAGAACTATTCATATCTTTTGACCATTTTTCTATTGAGCAATGACTATGTCTATCTATATGTAGATACCTATATCTACATATACATATAGATATATAGATACCTATATATGTATGTATGTGTGTATTGTGTGTGTTACTTATATATCTTGGGTACCAAATCCTTTTCAGAGAAATTTGATACAAAGATTTCTTTTTCCCCATTTGACTCTTCTGATCCTAGATGCATTAATGCAGAAGCTTTTCAGTTTCAAGTTCCCACTTCTGCTACAAACACAGTATTATGTTCCTTTAGTTACTTTAATTTTTTTTAAGCTGGCTCTATTCCTACTGACTCTCTGGCTCATCCCTGAGCCCTCTTCTCATTTGATATCCCTTTTCCTTTAGGGTTTTGTTTATTAGTTTTTTTTATCTACTGCTTTTATCTGATTATATATTTTCTCCCTCTTTTTTTCCCCTTTCAGTAGATTCAGTAGATTTAGTCAAGTATAGATTGCTTTTTCCTCTTCTCTCCTTCAGCTAGTCCTGTTCCTTACTTTTGAAATTTCATTTTTGTGCCCCTTTCCAAAAAAGAATTTCTCTCACTCTCTTCATTATCCATCCTCTCTGTTTACTCCAGACCTCATTCTCTAATTCATGACCCCTAAAATTATCTGGTCTCTTTTGTGTATTCTGTGCACAATCAAAGCTTCTAAGGTATTCATTCTAGGCTCTTTAGTCTAGGTGCTTTCTGCCACTGCCCTGTAGGACTTGCCTCATGGATTCCCATCTTCCATTGTACCTTGCTTCCAGAACAGTGTCAATTGTAAATGTCAGAGAGGACCCAGCCCCATGGCTGGGCCCCTTCCTCACTATGTCCCTGATTATTCAGCCAAGTACTGATCTATACTCTGTCTTGTAGACTTTTTTTTTTCCTACATTTGCCTGGAAATCTCCTTCCTAGGTCCATGTTCTCCCAGTTCTCCAGATGCCAGTCACCTCTAAGTGTTTGGGTTCCAATTCTCTTCCTCCTAGGACAAGTAGATTTTTCAAGCACCAAATCCCTCAGGCCTCATCCAGTGTAAGGTCCTTATCAGTCTTCACCAACTATCTCTTTTCACCCCTGGAAGCATTCATCAGTGGAACTCCCTCCCACATCCAAAGTAAGGTCTCTTCCCTTTCCCTCCCTTTTCAATATTTCTCCTTTCCTCCTCACTCCCTATAGGCTCTTCTCTTTCTGAGGCCACAGAGGTCACCTTCCACTCATTGCTAGCCCTTAATTTGATCCCAGTGCATCACTTGTACTTCTCTTCCCCCCTCATTCTATGTACCCTCTCATATTGTAATGTGGTCCCACCAAGGAAGCATTAATGTGTGAACAGGATGTTACCAGGTTCTGTCCATAATACCCCTTGTTCATTTCTTCAATGTTACCTCTACCAGATTTCTGCCTTGTGTGCATTTAGAAAGAAATCTTTATTGGCCTCTTGCCATTCTGTTGCTGTTACTGTCCTTGCCTGCTATATTTATTCATTCCTCCTGCATTTCTATTGTTTGAGGTATTTGAGAAGCAAATGATCTTTTCAGGTCAAATGCTCCTTTATTATTAATGTCCATCTTTTGCCTTGTACAGTTAAGTTCAGATTTGCAGAATTGATCACCCTGGGCTGTATCCTGAGCTCCATCACTCTTGGGAACATGTTATTCCATTCCCTCCTCTTTTTCTAGTGGGTACAGAATAGTCTTGTGTTATTTGAATGTCCTTTCCTTTGTATTTGAAGGTTTTTCTCCTGACAGCTTACAGAACATGTTGCTTCTGAATTTAATTATTAAATTTGACCACTGTACATCTTAGAGTTTGCAGCCTTGGATTTTTACGGGAGGTGATCTGTTAATTCTTTCCATTGGAATTTCATTTTCTATGTTTAGAAGTTCTAGGCAATTTTCTTCTATCATTTCTTTTATTATGGTGTTCAGGTTTTTATCTTGTCACATTCTTCTGGGAAACCTATGATCCTTAGGTTGTCTCTGCACATCCTGTTTTTGAGTTCTGTCTATTTTGCTTGTATAGCAAGTATATTTTCTTTTCTTTTCTTTTTTTGCTTCTTTTCTAGGTTGTCCTTCACTTCTGTGTATTTGCATTCCCGATCTATTTTTCTCTCTTTTGTTTCTTTGATGAGGCTTGTCATTGCAAATTCAAATTTTTCTATTCCATTCATTATTTTTGCTGAGGGGGACATAAATTCTGCACTCAAAGGTCTTATTTCTCTTTTAAACCACTTGGGAACAGCATGTGGTGCTTCCATGTTCTCCTCCAATTCCACGGGGTCCTCTATCTCATCAAGTGTTAGATCATTTTCGTTTGTTTTGCAGTATTTATTCATAGATGCCTGAACTCATTTACTTGATCTGGAGGCCATATTTCTTTCTGCTGTTACTGTTTTTCCTGTTGATTTATTGGTGTTCAAGGTCTTTGGGTTTTCTTCTTCCTGAAATCTTTGGTATTTTCAATCTTTCTCCCCCTATTTTCCTTACCTCTCACTTCCCAGTTCCCTCTCCTCTAATTAGTTTCCTACCATACTAGGCAATTCATGGTTCATCAGCCTAGGTCTCTGCCCCACCTGACTTTTGACTTGTTAGAACTGGCCCCCACTGGATGCTGTGCTCTTTCCCTCAAGCTTGATGGAGTTGTACACATCTTCCCACCTCACCCATGGTGTCCTTCCTGGTGACTTGTTCTCTCTCTGTTCTTCAGTTCTCTGCCCTAGCACCAGCAGTTCAAAGCCTATTTTCTCCAGTATTGCCAATTCAAAGCTTTGCAGCACTGGTACTTCTGGGTTACAGTCCTGACAGGTTTTTGCTCCTAAAGGGCTATGGCCGAGCTAGCTCTCCTGGGTTGAGAAAACTTCCACAGCCTGAAGTTGGGATCTCCATGACACTGGAAGGAATGAGGGGGAGCCAGGGGATAGGGGTGGGTGCTGATGTGAGCCTATGTCATGTACTTGTGTCTGCTGATGCAGCCTCACTGCTGGTAGCATGGGAAGTAGGGGAGGGAGATTGAGTAAGCTCAGGGTCATCAGAACTGAGCTTCAGTTCTTAGGGTTTTTATTAACCTTTTTTTTTTATTCTGGGTTTCCTAGACCATGGAAACAGCTAAAGTTGCTTATCTTTGGCGTACAATTTTTGTTTTGTAGAGGATTTGTAAGGTCATGGGAATTGGAGAAAATGTCTTGTCTGTCATCTTGTTGCTCATGTAACCCAGAAAGATGTTCAGGCACTTTCAAAAGGATAAATATGCTGCAACAAAGCACAATACCTAAAGCAACTCTAGCATTTCTAATTATTTGAGAACTGACTGACTCTGAAATGTGAATTCTATGCTCAGGTGGTGGTACGGGAACTCCTTGCTCAGTATTCCAAACAGTATGAGGAAAAACCACTTTTTGGCCTTCTTCGGAACTGGACAGAATCTGTGAGTGACAACTTGAGAACCAGGTAAGTAGAGTTTAGGCTCCCACAATCACCAGTCTTCTGCCCACTCCCCCCCAAATAAAATGGAGCTCAGTTATAGCACAGCTTACTATTACCCACTTTTGGAGCTACCAGTCCAGTCCAATTAACCCAGCAAACATTTATTAAGTGCCTGTTGTGAGTATATTATAAGGCGATGTGCTAAGTGCTAAGGATAGTTGATGTTGCTGGCTCAGTGAGTTCGTCAGTGTTAGTACTCTCTCTACCACTGCAGAAGACAACCCATCCATGGCCTCCCATCTTGGGCAAATCTAATCTGCATCTTTCAATCCAATTCAATCCCACAAGTATATATTAAGTGCCTATTTCTAGGTGCTGGGCTAGGTAGTAGATATACAAAGATACAACTAAATGTAATCCCTATACTCTAGGAGCTCATATTCTACAAGGATGACATCTATCATGCAGACAAATGAGTAAATGTATGTACAAATTAAACACATAGGTATTAGAGGAGTGTAGAGTGCATGAGAGGGCACAATGGAAAATAAGTATGGAAAGATGGGTTGGAGCCAGTTTGCAGAGGTCTTTATATGCCAAACAAAGGAGTATGTATTTTATTATCAAGGCACTAGGGAATGACCTAATGAGTAGAAAAGTATCACAGTCAAACTAGTGCTTATCACTTTGGTAGCTGTATGGAGAACAGATTAGAGAGGAGAAAGTGGATTCAAGGAGAGTAATTCAGAGACTCTTAGGATAATCCAAGTCAAAGAGCCTAAACTAGGGTGATAGCCACATGAATGAGGAATCTACAAGAATTTACCTGAAGCTATGGAGGATTAGGCCTTTTAAAATTTTGTAGGTGCCAGTGGGGTGCTTATGCTATCCATTCTTTATTTTTCATTCTTGTTACAGTATATGACTGGCCTACTTTCTTCTCTGGACATGCCTGTTCTTGATGAAGTCTTTTGCACCATTTCATATATATGTTATTTGTCATGTGCTGTAGATTACTTATACCTGCCATAGGTATATAGGCAAGAGGAAAGAATGAAAGGAAGGGAGGGAGGGAGGGAGGATATTAAGCATTCACTACATTATTCCAGGTAATATGTGCCTTTCTATTTATGTTTGGATCAAACTGTGATTTTGATTGTCCTGAGATTATACTGCTTTATGAATCACATATACATAGTATCATGAAAAAAATTCTGAAGTTAAAGAAAGAGTTTGGGATTGTTGAAAGCACCGCAAAAATTCCTTATTCAGATGTAATCCTGCCCATTTTAATCCTTTACTTCAGCACTAGGCCTTTATCACTGTCCACCTACAGTGCCCTTTCCAAAATTTGCTGCCTATATGCCATGATCTGGGTAATAGAATTCATTATCCATTTGATTTTTCCTATATAGATTGTTAAAATTATGTGTTTTGAGTAGTTTGGCACTCATTGTCATCCATAAACCATGTCATCCAAAGAATCTTACCATATGTAAGGTTTTTCTATTTGGACTTTGCATAGGACATCCTCCATGACTATGCTAATACTTTAATCAACAATGAATCTCCCTGTTCTATGTTTCTTGATTTTGGTAAACAGAGGGTCACTGAACAAAGTTATTTATGTGGTTGTATCTATCAAGGAATCTTATATGATATTAACATAGGCATAGGAGACACAATGTTGAAACAGTGACTTTAAGACTTTTTGTCACAAGTGAGACAGTTTAAAAAAATCAATAGATAAACATAGCAGGATCTTGGATATACTACTCCTCTGTCATTTTTGTGTCAATGAAATTGTTTGCTGCTGTCTGTTTTCTGTTGTCTGTGAAAGTCTGCCTGTGTATACCCTTGATATGCATAGACCATCTCATAAAGAATTTATAAAGATGATTAAATAAGCATATGAGGGCAGAGCTAAGATGGCAGAGTAAAAACAGTACTTGCTTGAGCTCTCCCCCAAACCCCTCCAAATACTTGTAAAAAATGGCTCCAAACAAATTCTAGAGCAGCAGAACCCACAAAAAGACAGAGCGAAACAAATTTCCAGCCCAAGACAATCTGGATGGTTGATTGGAAAGGTCTATCCCGCCAGGTTGGGAGAGAAACACAGTTCAGCATGGGTGCGCCCACAAAGACCAGGCCTCAGTGAACCTGGAGCGATCCTCAGGGGATTGAATCAAGGGGAGCTGTGGTGGTTTCCATACTTCTCAATTCACAATCAAAAACAATTTAGAAGGTCAATAGGAAAAGTTTGTCAGACCATAGTAGAGAGGAGCTCAGTTTCCAGAGCTCTCAGCCCACAGAAGGAGGGAGAATTGAGTGGCTTATCAGGGGGGGATTGCAGGGATCTCTTTGCTGATACTGAGGCAGAATTCTCTTGCTTTGCCCATACTTGAATCTGGGTCACAGTTCTGGGTGGCGGTCCTGGGGAGAGGAGGAGTGCTGGCATGGTGGAGCTTGTAGTGGTAGTGGAGAGGGAATCTTCACAGTTCTAAGGCAGAAAACAATGCTTGTGGTCACTCATAGACCACACTGGCCCAGGCCAGGAAAGGAGGAAACACCTCACCCTTGATTGTACCCCCTTGGAAGAATTGAAAATTTACAGGTCCCTAGAAGTATCTCTGAAAACAGCTGCACAAAACCCTCAAATCTTGGGACAGTACATTCTCCACACTGGAAGCAGATCCCTACCTAAACAAAGAGTTTAAAACTCAAGTAATTGGCTGGGATCATGAGCACACAGTGCAAAAAAGTCAGACCATAGAATCTTTCTTTGGTAACAAAGAAAATCAAGACATACGACCAGAAGAAGACAACAAAGTCAAAGCTTCTACATCCAAAGCCTCCAAGAAAAATATAAATCAGTCCCAGGACATGGAAGAGCTCAAAAGGGATTTTGAGAAGCAAGTAAGAGAAGTAGAGGAAAAACTGGGAAGAGAAATGAGAGTGATGCAAGAAAATCATGAAAAACAAGTCAACAACTTGCTAAAGGAGATCCCCCCAAAAAAAACCAGAAGAAAATGAGCCCTTAAAATACCCTAACCCAAATGGCAAAAGAAGCCCAAAAAGTCAATGAGGAGAAGAATGCCTTAAAAAGCAGAATTAGCCAGATGGAAAAGGGAGTCCAAAAGCTCACTGAAGAAAATACTTCCTTAAAATTAGAATGGAGCAATTGGAAGCTAGTGACTTTATGAGAAATCAAGATATTGTAAAACAAAACCAAAAGAATGAAAAAATAGAAAATAATGTGAAATATCTAATTGGAAAAACAACTGACATGGAAAATAGATCCAGGAGAGATAATTTAAAAATTATTGGACTATCTGAAAGCCATGATCAAAAAAAGAGCCTAGATATCATCTTTCAAGAAATTATCAAGGAAAACTGTCTTGATATTCTAGAACCAGAGGGTAAAATAGAAATTGAAAGAATCCACCAATCACCTCCTGAAAGGAAGGAAAACTCCTAGGAATATTGTAGCCAAATTCCAGAGTTCTCAGGTCAAAGAGAAAATATTGCAAGCAGTCAGAAAGAAACAATTCAAGTATTGTGGAAACACAATCAGTATAACACAAGATTTAGCAGCTTCTACATTAAGGGACCAGAGGGCTTAGAATATAATATTCTGGAGGTCAAAGGAGATAAGATTACAACCAAGAATCCTACCCAGCAAAACTTAGTATAATCCTTCAGGGGAAAAATGGACATTCGGTGAAATAGAAGACTTTTAAGCATTCTTGATGAAAAGATCAAAGCTGAATAGAAAATTTGACTTTCAAATACAAGACTCAAGAGAAGCATGAAAAGGTAAACAGGAAAGAGAAACCATAAGGAACTTATTAAAGTTGAACTGTTTACATTCCTACATGGAAAGATGATATTTGTAACTCATGAGACCTTTGTCAGTATTAGGTAGTTGGAGGGGAAAAATTAGATAGATAGATAGATAGATGAATGGATAGATAGTGGGCATAGGGTGAGCTGAAGATGAAGGGGTGATATGTAAAAAATAAAATTAAAGGATGAGAGAGGATTATACTGGGAGAAGGAGAAAGGGAGAGTTAGAATGGGGTAAATTATCTCACGTAAAACAGACAAGAGCTTTTACAGTGGAAGGGAAGTGGGGGAAGGTGAGAGGGAATGAGTGAATCTTATTCTCATTGGATTTGGCTTAAGGAGGAAATAATATACACACTCAATCGGGTATGGAAATCTATCTTACCCTACAGGAAAACAGGGGGAAAGGAGAAAAGATAGGGGGGGATGATAGAAAGGAGGGCAGACTGGGGGAGGGAATAATCAGAAGCAAATACTTCTGAGGAGGGACAGGGTCAAAAGAAAGAATAGAATAAATGGGGGGCGGGATAGGATGATGGGAAATATAGTTTTTCACAACATGACTACTATGGAAGTGTTTTGCATGACTACACATGTATAACCTGTATTGAGTTGCTTGCCTTCTCAATGAGGGTGGGTGGGGAAGGAGGAAGGGAGAAAATTTGGAACCCAAAGTTTTGAAAACAAATGTTAAAAATTGTTTTCACATGTAACTGGGAAATAAGATATATGGGCAATGGGGTATAGAAATCTATCATACCCTACAGGAAAATATAAGGGGAAGGGGTTGGGGGGGTGATTTGTTTTCTTGAGTCCTATTGTACTTCCTTTTGAGGATATGAGATACAGATACGTATACATATAACATCAGGTATCAGTCTCCAAATTTAGTTACACTGTCACCAATAAGATTATATCACATAGAAATGTTGACAGATGTGTTCCATTTCCTATCTTTTGTTGTTCTTCCATTTTTATCTATACATTTTCGTAGGATAGTCTGGTTTAGTTGAATTTCACACCAAGGTTTCTGCATGCTTGTTTTCCTCTCCATTACTTTATTAATAAATGTTTCATTCATTCATTGCCTTTTTCTGTTTTGTGAAATAATATTGCTTATAATTCTATCATTCTCCTTTTTTGAACCCCTCATTGTAACAATTCTTGTATATCAGCTA